CACCGCAAGGCCAGATGGTCATGGCTGACGCGACGAATCAGAACACACTCAGAACATTTATCGGTTTTTCTGCATGTTTAAACTTTTGCGGTGGAACCCTGTACACACACAAATTGTTTCTGCTACTGTTCTTTGAATATGTCGCTGAAGATGAATTCGCGACAGATTTCAAAACGTCAGGCAAATAAACATATTGTCCCAGCGATCGAGTTGTCTTCTTTTCAATTGCTTCCTGGGACTTGCATGCTCGCTTGTATTGGCACTCTAAGTTGTCTTAAGCAAAACCCCCTATTCGATAGATTTGAGATTTTTCCGGACGTGAGACCCTTGGATATGCTACCGGAATTCGCAGGAAGATTTGCAATACGTGGACAAAATTCTGACCTCATAAAGTGTAACTAGATACATAGTCTTCCAGTGGATGCTCGTTTTAATTTCAAGTACATCAGTACCAGTGTAGCTTTGCCCAACGTCGATTAGTCATTGAACGAAAACGGTCTCATGGTGAAGGTTTTGGGCATGCGTTTAAGTGTCAGAAATTCGGACTTACTCATTCCGCACGAATGTAGACTTTCCACCACCGACTCGTGCCACGCCATTTAGGAAGGATGTGCTAGCACCTTCTCCAATACCGATTGTAAAATGTAGCGTCGTCTGTGCATTGCGTTGCACAAGTGAAAAGACCTGCAGAAGACGAGCAATGAAAGATTCGTTCCTGAAGGGTCAGTGAATTGCATGAAGAATAATTCAATAGCATAAGTATTTGTACTGACGTTTCGACTATCGATGTTGACTATGTCCACACTTTTTCCTGCGCAAGATGCTGCAGGGACGATGACCTCTGGTGGAGTATTGTGAATATAAACTTATAGGGCATCTATCCTATTCCCTTCCTCTTCCACTTGTGCCTCGTTTCAATATAAGGGCAAGGAGAGAGGGCAGAGAGCACATGCCCAAGATCTGTGGGCCAGAGCAACCAATAGCAGACGAGGAAACAGTTACAGCCTTACTCTTAGTCCACCAGTCAGTCACTGCCAACAACACAGCACAGGCTGAGCTGACCGTGCGTGTAGCTGGTAATATGAAGGGCCTTTTGAAGACTGACTAATTTTGGCTGAGTCACTACGAACTAGGAAACACAGACCACAGTCTTATAACGGCCGCTTCCATGTTTCTGATACAGAGGCGATTCATCGAATAACTATTACCCATCTCAAGCGTTGGGGTTGAACTCCATGAACTGAAGCGTATGATTGAAGTCTAAAAAATGCAAACTCTGTGCCCAATATGGCCTCCTCTAGGAAATATTTGATATTAAATTTAAGAATCTACTTAAATTTTAAAATATCAAAGAGCGTATCGTTCTGGAAAATTCTTGATCAAAATGTTGATTTTTTTTACTATGAACGTCGACAGACTGTTGGACTTTCATATGTGTATGTGCCCGCACAATCTTATGATAAATGCTCGAGCCATCAGTAGATTTCAGACAGCCTGACATATTCCTTATAGAGAAAGCAAATGAACATGTTGGTATAGTGCAGTTTAGAAAGGTGAAGAAATTGAGTATCCTATAAAACTCCGCAGCTCAGGCAGTTGAAGAGATGTATGATAACGGGCCCTGTCAGGCCTGATGCGAAATTTGTGCCCAATCTCCATTTTAAATAATATACCATGAAGACTGTGCTTTGAGGATAGAGGAAACAGGACAGGATTACCTCTGTTTGGTTTACTACATCACCGTCTGTAAGCAAGATGATTTTCCTGTACCATCCATATCCCGTAATTCCCTTTGCGTAAATGCTTTCCAGAGCTCTTAAAACTTTTGTGCCACCCATGTTCGCGGTCAGGTTCTTTTGATATTCCAGAGCCATTTCCATGGACTCCTCAGTGTAGTTCCTTGGTCTAAAAACAAAAACCACTGAAAACATTACTGGAAAACGGGGCCTATCTTATGCCTCTCTTGTAAAAGAATGTATAAACGCGTATTTATATCAAACTTTTGCCATGTTTAAGGCTGAAAGTCACACGTTTTGGGGCTTTTATTGAAGACAGTGTGGAAATGTCCAAGATGAAAGCTTAGTGGGCTGAAGGTATTTTGAAGACTTACTCATCGAACAGTGCAGAAAAGGTGCTTCCGAAACCGACAATTTGAAAACGACAATCCATGGGCAAAGACTTGAGCAAGAGCAGAAGGCACTCTTTCGCCTGTAAAATTTTGCTCCCCGCCATGCTTCCTTCAAAGGCATAAAACAAGGGTGTAGTTTAATTTAAGAAAATTTGCCAGAGAACAGCTATTAAATAATTGCGCTTTTTGACGGGACATGCGTAAACTGATTTGTCGCGGATTCCCCGTCAGAGATCTCACAGAACTTTACGGGATAAAAAAGAAATTAACAAAACAGGAGTTTTACCTATTGTTGGCATTGTTAAATGGCAGGATAATCCCTGATAGTGCTAGTCATAGTGCTTACAAGCGCACCAATGCATATAGTGTTCCTTTTTGCAAGTTCGCGCGTAAAAGGCTTGGTCTGGAATGAATTCATAGGTGGTCTTCAGATTAACTCATGTGAAAGTCCATATTTATATTCGCCAAAAAAATTCAGTGCCGTCATATGATGGTGTATGTAGAATTTATTAGATTACTGTTATATTACTGTATTATTATACTATACTATTATATTATTATATTTATTGAAATGCTAAAGCGTATGGCCTGGCTTTCCTGACTAGCTTGGAAAATAATATAGAATGCCAGCTTTCAGTCACGTTTCGCTGCGATTATTTACTGAAGAAAAGCATTTAATATATGTTAAGTTATGTATTAGGCTATTTCATGCAGAGAAGGTAAAAGTGTCGCAAACATCCACTTATATTGTTGGTTGGCAGGATTTTCTCATGCTATGCTATTTGAAATAATGATGAGATTATGGACGTGGATTTTACTGTCTTGATTATGCCACAGGTTTAAAAATATATGGTTTATAAGGAAACAGAATTGAATAAAATTTATATATTTGCGGCACAGGCTATACTTTGCCGCAAATATTGCGCTGGTCGAATCCTTTTCTGATGACATTCCATGAGCTTTCTGAAGAACCTAAATGAGCGAAGCCAACCTCCACTCACCGAAAAAAGTAAATGAAAATCTACAGCAATTGTTCATTGTACATTTTTCTTACTAGAGCTAAGAACGTTCAAATGGGACAATCTGTGAAGAAGCATCTGGTGCATATAGTCTGCTAGATCAATGGAAATAGAGGCTTTAAGTAGTACTTACGATTAAAAGACATTGCGGGATGTTTTTTCTAATGCAAATTATGTGAAACATCTTTTCCCAGGAAGAAATTTGAAGCAAGCAAATATGGCA